ATATTATTATATAATAATTTTATGTTTGGATTGTGAATTTTTTTAATCAATGTTGTACATGCAAATAGTTTGAAAAGTACTTAGACTTAAAGTAGTACAAACTATCTGTTCCCTTCCCCTTTAACCCACCTTTTCTCTAAAGACAACCAGTTTGAATTCTTTTTTTTTTTAAAGAAATCAATATTTATTCCCATTCCCAAAAAAGTGATTCAACAGAATGTGGAAATTATCAAATAATATCATTAATATCACATGCAAGCAAAATCTTGTTAACGATTATTCAAAAATTGTTAGAGCAGTATATCAACAGAGAATTGAAAGAAATTTAAGCTGGATGTAGAAGAGGCTGAGGTACCAGACATGTAATAGCTGATGTCAGATAGACCTTCACTGAAAGAAGAGAATACCTACCAGGAGGATGTCTACCTCTGTTTGACTGACTATGCAAAGGCTTTTGACTTTATAGATCATGGCTAACCCTAGAAGAATGGGAATCCCAGAACATTTAATTATGCTCAGGGCTTTATGAGGAAAAGTGTGGCATCAAGATTGGAGGAAAATTCATTAACAACATACAATATGCAGATGACACAACCTCGCTTGCTGAAACTGAAGAAGACCTGAAGCACTTGCTGTCAAAGGTCAAGCAGTGTAGTCTTCAGTATGGACAGTTTGAATTCTTATAGTTGTTTTCTCTCATCTCTGCTTCCATATATAATATTCATATACTGAAATAATGCATTTTATCAATTTATACATTATCTATTGCTTCATAATATGAATGATAACTTTAGCCCTTTAACCTCCAACTATCATCCTAGTACATTTATACCATGATCTTTGCTGAATCCATGTTTCAGCATTTTTAATATTGTTGTTTTGTGGCTTTGAATCAGAACTGACTCATAGCTGACCCTCTGTAAGGTTTTCTGAGGCAGCATATTGCACGAGAGATTGACCATCCTTCTCCCACAGAACCCTGGTGAATTTGAACCTCAAACCTTTGGGATTACAGCACAGCTTCTTACCACTGGACTGCCAGAACTAGACTGTGCAAATCTTGCTCACAGCAGAGCCTGGGAATAGCTCATGAATATGTCATAGTTCTTTAACAGTTTTGTGGGGTTTTTTTAGAGTTATGAAATGCTTCATTTTTTTAATTTGCTCATTTTTATTGTAATCTAGAACTAAGTCATGTCATGACCCCATAGCCCTTAATTGCTTTGTAAAAGCCATTATTCACACTTACCAGTTAAATTCTTTCCTCAGGGAATATTCATCCTAAAGCCCTCTATTGGGCTCCAATCTGGAATTAGAATGTTCTCAAGACTTACCACTTCATTGTTACCCTGGAAATTCCTATCACTTCTCTTCTGTGTTTTATTCCTTTTCTTTCCTTGATTTTATTTCTTATTTGGTGGAGCATATCTTGCAGTAGCTTCCTAAGAAAGGATACATAGGAAATAAATTTTCTGAGACTTTGTATTTCTAAAAACATCTTTATTCCATGCCAATTCTGAAATATTTAACATAGTATATCTTTCTACATTAAAAATTATTTTCCCTCAGTTTCTTCTAAGGCTTTTATCATGGATTGGATTATGTCCCCCCAAAAAATGAGTCAACCTGCCTAGGCTGTTGATTGCCTAGTAATGTGATTCACTTCCATTTTGCTTTGTCTTCTGTTTTGCAAATTGTCTTCTATTTTGTGATGCATTGTAAATCCTTTCCTCTATATATCAGTAGGGGATCAGTGACTTCAGTCACACTCCTGTTTGGGTCACACCTTTTGTCTTACAAGATATAAAAAGAGAGAAATCATCAAAGAGATCTCACTAATGTTAAAGCCATTCACTTGTGTTTCTACTATAGTAACACTAGACAACTAAGAAAGCATCGCTTAATTGTCTTGAGCTTCTGATACTGTATGCAGTTTTAATCCAACAGCTGTTCCTGGGGAGAATAATGAGCAGTCTCCTCTTACATGAGTTACTGCCTCTAAAAACCCCCTGGAAGGTCAGCAATGAGTCAGTTCCAACTCAGTGGTACTCAACAACAACAATATTATTTCAAAGATGCCCTTGTGGCACAATGCAGTATGTGCTGTTTTGCTGACCAGCAGATCTAGAGTTTGAATCTCCTCCCATTAAGATATGCAGTGTAGGCTTCGAAAAAAAAAAAGATATGCAGTGTAGATGTGAGCTATTAAAGAATGGTCATAAAAAGCCATTGTTTAAATTATTTCCTTCTGCTTTACTACCCTAAACCTATCAGTATCATTCATTTACTGTACTTCTCAAGAGCAATTAAAGGCATATGAGTTCTGGATGCTGAAAAAGAAAAAAGAAAAGAAAAAGATATGCCACCTTGGAAACTCAATGGAGGGTCACTCTGACTTGGAATCAGCTTGATGACAGTTAGACTTTTATCCCTATCTTTTATATATACCTTCTTTGCACCCTAAACGTTTTAAGTTCTTTTTATCATCATCCTAAAATGTCATGATAAAATCCCTTGACTATGTTAGACATTTTGTCGCTGTTCTTTGAGTACCTAGTGAGCTCCGGACATGTATCCTTCAATTCTGGGAAATCCTTCTCTTCTCTCCTTTGAAAGCCTCTCTTAATAAAAATTTCTATTTCCTATACATATGTTTGGATTTAAAGTGAGCAGCTTTTTTCCTTCCTTTGGGTTTTGCTTATTGTTGGGGTTTTTTGATCCACATTTGAAAGATTTCCTTAGCATTATCATTTTCTTAAACTGATTTTAATGAAAGTATACAGAAAAGCTGGATTTTCATTTCATTCATTGTTATACATTTTTGTCCCTCCCTCAGCATTATTTTTTATTCTTTTTACAAGAATTTTTTGTTTCACTTGTTTTAGGTTACAGTAACTCATCTTTGCTCTCCAGCGTCTCCTTCTTTATGGCATCCTGGTTTTGTTTTATGGACACACTGTGTTACCTTATTTAGTAGTTAGGCATTGGGAAAAGATGATTGGAAGCTTGTGTATGAAGAGAGACTAACTGTATGCCAGTTAAATGACTCACTAGACAAGACTTTAAATGTACAGACACAAAAGAAAGTGTAAGTTTCATGTTGTTTTCTTGTGCCATCTATCATTTCCAGGAAAAACCGCCAGTCTAAAGAATGTATCGTCTAGGTTCCAGCATTCAGAAGCTGTGCAGAAGAAAGCTGGGGCTTTACCATTGGTGTGAGGAGCAAAACTTCTTGCATTTGATTTGGAAATTACTTATAGCTGACCCTCCAGCAAGTTTTCAGAGGCTGCAAATTCCACTGAAGGAGATTGTCAATCTTTCTCCTCCAGAGTTGCTTGTTGGTGGATTTGCACTGCCAGAAAAGTGCCAGTCTTGGATTGGCAGTGCATTTCCTTACCAACTACACCACCAGAGATCCCTGCTGTTCAGAATGCAGACTTCTGTTTAAGTCACTGCACAAAAAAGAACTGGTTGACACAGAACAATTTCAAAAAGTAGTTAAGTGACCAAGAACCAATTCGTTGTAAAAAGTACAAACAACTCTGAAGGCACTGGCAAAAAAGAAGGCCAAGGAGTTCATAAAATACCAAGTTTCAAGAATAGATACAGCCCTAGGTGTGCTTATTAGCCTATGCCCAGAAATTTGGAAAGCATGGCCATATTTGTTCCTCTTCAAAAAAAGGTGATCCAACAGAATATGAAATGTCAATAATATGACATGTGGATAAAACTTTTCTGAAGATTATTCAAAAACATCTAGAAGAGTAATACACCACAAGGAACTTCAGAAGTTCAAGCTGGTTTCAGAAGAAACCATGAAATGAGGGACATCATAGTTGACATCAGATGGATCTTGGCTGAAGGCAGAGAATACCAGAAAAATGTTTACTTTTGTTTTAATAGCTATGCAAAGACATTTGACTGTTGAATCATAACAAATTATTGATAAAAGTGAGAAGAATGGGAATACCAGATGCTTAATTGTGCACATGCAAAACCTGTACATAAACCAAAAAAATCAGTTGCCAAACTGAGTAACTACATTGTATAAAATTAGAAAAGGTGTATGTCAAGTTTGTATCCTTTCCACATACCTATTAAGTCTGTATGCTAAGCAAATAATTCCCAAAACTGGAAGAAGAGTGTGGTGTCAGGATTGGAGGAAGACCCATTAACAACCTGTGTTATGCAGATGGTAGAATTTTGCTTGCAGAAAGTAAAGATGACTTGAAGCACTTCCTACAGAAGATCAAAGACTTCCGCTTTCAATAATGATTCCATCTCAACATCAAAAAAGCAAAAATCCTCCCTGGTGGACCAATAGGTAACATTATGATAGATGGAGAAAAGATGAAAGTTGTCAACAGTTTCATTCTTCTTGGAT